CAATGTGAAGAATAAGCACCATAATACATTTCGTATTTTTAAGGTATTAAATATATTTTTACATAAAAAAATAGATTTTTTACCAAAAAAAAAATAAAAAAAATTAGGCGGCATAATGCGCCACCTAGGCTGGATTAGGCCCGCCTTTTAGAACAAAAACGCATTTTTCGCACATACCTCGAATTCGATGCGTCTTCTCTCCACGTTGCGTCTAGGCGGCGCATTTGCGCGCATTTTAGAACATGGCTAAATACCCACTCAATGAGGAACATAAGTACTCTTACCTTTAAGAGCAACACAAGCAATGTCACAATTAACATCACTTTGATTAGATAGTTCACTCTTTTTAACACAAATCTTTTTAGAAGAAGATAGAATTTCAGTCAATTTGGTCATCAATTCAGTCAAGTGACTCACTTGTTTAGTCAAGAATCTAACAGGAGTAGTCAGATCTTGTTTGTTATTCTCAATCAAGTGCTTACAACACCTATGTCTAATGTGAACTAACTCGCCATAATTTTGACAAGTGGGAATGAATCTAAGAGTACTTCTAGGTCTTATGTTTTGAACATTAGGTTAAGAAAACATATGTTGCACAGAAGATTACTGTCATAAGGCTCCTACATTCTTATATTTGACAGAGGCAGGTGCAAACTTGGAATACGTAGTGCTTGTGTGTGTGATTTCATCGGTATCACCACAAGGAATAATAGGTTCAAAACTTTCATGCTACCTAGAATTCCAGTGTTACTTAGTGAGATTCACACTAAGATTGAATTCAAATCGAAAGATATCCTTACCTTATGTGTAATTGCTTCTAAACTTGAGTTTGAACTCATTATATATTTGAATAATGTATAAAATGAGGAGTGATTAAATGTTGATCAACCATGAGAAAATCAAACGAAAGCAAAATGAGAAGAAAAAAATGGAGGTGGGCGGAAAATTGCCGGATCGCCCAGCCTTGCTTATTCAAAACAAATGCAAAAATGTTGAACTAGGTGATCATCCACTTTTGTATTGGGAAATCGCCTAGTGCAATTTTTTGTCCATTGAGATTTTGAATTATGGTCTCTTTTCATCGAGTTTCACACCTATTTTACTTGATTTTTGCACATTTTCATGCATGATTGTTGAAGTACCATGAATAGGGGTGGTTTTCATGATTGAAAACATATCTTTAACATTAAATTTATACAATTAACATTCAGATTAAAGATCAAACCAAGTTTTAATATTTTGTTCTTAAGTTTCTTTCTCAAGTTTGGTTGCTTGATTCAAATTCTGGATTAAGGTTTTGGTTGCTCCTACAAACTATTTGCCTTTGAAAGTCTTTAAGTACTTATCCTCGATGATGGCAAATATCGTGTTAGGACGACGATTTATAATCGTAGTCAAACCTTCCATTTGACGAGATTCTTGTTGCTGATATTCTTGTTCTTCATCGACTTTTGTACAACATTTGTGTCCTTTACTGCTTAGCGAACCTCAATTAGGCTTTAGCATCAACATAATCCCTATCTTTGTTGTTCCCGTTTTGTCTTTTCCTATAAACTATATTTCATTTGTCTTTTTCTTGATTACTTCCCTGAGAATATTAATGTCTTTGATCCCCTAACAAGTAACATCTATACTCTTATAATCTTAATTAATATTACAAATTGATAGAAAATATTTAAAAATACCCTCCAACATCGATGAAAAATCGCAAAGTAAAACTGTTACCAAACATAGATATTTCAATATTTTGCAAAATTTATATTTAAATATCAAGATATTACATCCAAAAAAAAAAAAAAGGTCACTTCTACTTCCAAATCCAACTTTCAAATAAAAGAATAATCTCACTAACTGAAAAACTTTTTTAATTCGCATACTCATTTTCAATCACAAGTTTACACAATAAAATATTTTGCACGTAAATTCAAAAAAAAATTCCTACTTTTTGATTAACACACATTCTCCATAAAATTACTATTCAAAACTTCATTATCTCAAAATAATGGCCGTCAAATGTGCTATATATGCTTGAAAAAGATGCCCAGCATACTCATCTTAACTCAAAAAATTCGTTTATAAGTACAAAGCCCCAAGTCAGATATCCAATCTGGTCCGTGGTAGTTTTGTCCTTATTTATCGATGTAGGTTAACGTTGTTGCTGCTTAATTTTTCATCATGAGGGGACTAAAGTAGCCCACAAATTAGTTTCGTTCTTTTTAGTTGATCGAATTAGTGGCAAGCGGACTGATTGCATTCCCAAAATTATTGTCTATTGTCTCCCCAAATTTCTATTTGTGGCTTAAAAAAAGGGGTGCAATTTTAAAATCAAATAATTACTTTACATAAGAAAAAACTTATTAACACAAAAAGTCTCTACGTTTCGTTCTTAGTGTACAAAACGTTCCCACATTTTTTTCATTTGCATCCCTGTTTTAACGTTTCATTGTGAAAAACGTCATTTTCATCAATTTTTATCCAATTTCTCAATTAAAAATCTTAAAATGACAAATATACCCCCCTATTTAAATAAAACAAAAAGAAAAAATTGCAATCATACTCCCATTTTTTTTTAAAAAAAGAAGTACAAATAAATTCAAAATAAATTAAATTAAAAAAATCAAAAAAGAAAAGTCGTCTTCTTCTTCTTCTTCCCCCTCTCCTTCTCTCACCCTCACCCTCACCCTCACCCTCACCCCAAAATGAGACTAGAAAATAAATTGAAAAATACTGGAGGATGTAGAAATACTAAAAATCAATCCTCATATTTCTTACTAAATGATTTAGAAATACTTAGATCGATTTTATGATTAAACAAAAGAGGGCTTTTCTTCTCATTATTGTCAGTGACATTGTTCTTGACTTCTACAAGCTTTCTTGAATTGGGACTACTTTTCTGTAGATGGCACTTATAGTACTTGTGATGGGGCACTACATCTCTTGAGAACCTCCATTTCTTGTCATCTGTTCGCTTGCACCTATCTAGATAACCAGTCACTATACTCTAACACCAATAACAAGAAACGCCTTTTTAAAATCCACAACTAATCAAGTACAAAAAGTGTAAAAAGAAGATGAGCTGGCACAGGGGTGGAAATGTGAAAGTTTGAAACATATAGATATTTTGCACACTAAAGGCTAAAGGTATAAACGTTTTGTGCTACTAAACCCTATAAATCATGGCTTGTCTTTCAAGCTCCTTCCTTTGAACAGAAGTAAAAGAATTCCCCTTATTTACAGTCATTTCATTACCACTTGGACTCACACAACAAAAAAAAAAACTTCTGATTTACATAGCAAGAACAAATAAATAGTGATTTAATTACCCGATGATTTGAAGGCGATGGCTGTAGCGATGCTATCGAGTAAGGGTGAGGGTGAGGGGTAGGGGTGGTGATGGGAGTGGGTGAGAGAAAGAGAGGGAGAGGGAGAGGAGGAGGAGGAAGGAGAAGAAGAAGATTTTTCTTTTTTTATTTGAATGACCTAAAAATACTATTTTCAATTCTTGGTAAAGGTGGGCATGGGGATGGGGGTGGAAGAAGAAGAAGACTTTTCTTTTGATTGCAATTTGTTTTTTATTTTTTGTTTTTTTTCTTTTGTTTTTTTTTTAAATAAGAGGATATATTTATCCTTTTTTAATGAAAAAGATATTTTTCACGATGAAACATTGAAATATGTGTGAAAATGCAAAAAATTGAAACGTGAGGACGTTTTATGCTAATAAGCCCATAAGAAAGTTCGAAATATAAATTTAGTTATTTCCAATTTTCCAAAGTAAGATTAAAGGTTTATTTTATTTAAAATAATTCACTTCAAAATAAGAGAAAACTAGGTGTCCTACAAAAAATATTTTTATAAAAGCTTAGCCACACAAGCCGTCCTCTCTATCTAACATAATCGTTTAATTTTGGCTTTTCCCATTTGTAAGGAAGAAGATGCGGCAGAAATTCAGTGGGCCCCCACAGTGTATTTAAATATTGCAAAAAATGGCGGGTGCCACCTTCTTGTGTGTGGTCTGGTGTATTTATGTGGTGTACAGCAGCAGAATTCTTTAATTTTTTCGTTTATTACAAAGATTAACACACAACTTAATAATTGTCAAGATTCTAAAAACTCTTCTTATAAATATTCCCACACCAAAATTCTTCTTCTCATTAGTTCTCAGTTCAAACTCTTTGAGAGTAATTGGTGAAAATGGAAGTGATGAACAGATTCATAGCCATTAAGGCATCCATAGATGGATTCCCTCAAGAGTCTGATTTTGAAATCAAGACTGAAACACTTTCTTTATCCATTGGAGTTGGTACAAATCAAGTACTTGTGAAGAATCTCTATGTATCAATTGACCCTTATCAACTCAACCGTATGAAGAGTCATAGTTCGTCGCAGTCGGCTATATATTTCTCTGCCGCCATAATTCCCGGTGAGGTAAGTTATCAAAATGACGAGATTTTAACTTTTATGTTTCGGACTTTCGATATTGTATCGTCTACCATACCAAACAACCCTTTAGTATATATGTTCTCTTGGACTAAGATAGGCACTTTATTTGGTAGCAATAGAGGGGAAGGGAAATGAATACAATGAACAATATTGAACTAAACCTTTAGGTATTTCTTGATGTGCTATACTATATTGAACTAGAAACAATTAAACTTGTTGATTGTTCTATCCAATTTATTCAATTCCTTAAACTTGTTTATTGACATTCAGAAGTTTCTTTGATCATTGACAGGCCATTGATACATATGGTGTGGGAAGAGTAGTGGAATCTGAGAAGCCTGATTTTGAAAAGGGTGATTTGGTTGTTGGGCTTCTGAGCTGGGGAGAGTACACCATTGTAAAAGAAGGTGCACTCTTAAACAAGTTAGATCCCATGGGTTTTCCCTTGCCTCACCATGTAGGAACTCTTGGTAAGTGTCTCTAATCTTAATACCATTTCTTCGTTTGGCGATGCTCTTCATAACACGTTTTCGATGTAAAACAGTTCTTTGTTCATCACCTGATGTGTTTCACGAGACGTTAAGACATATTTGATACGTTGAATTGTACATGATTAAGGAAATAAAATATGAGAATTGTTCGTTTGTCACCTTCAAAAGTCATACATAACTACTAAGCACCCGTTTGGCTCTGATTATTTCACATTACAATGAGAGGAATAGTAATTTTTTGAAGAATGTGTAACTAAAGAAATAAAAGTTTTTGAATTTACGTGAAATATTATTTTATTGGAGAATATGTGATTGATAAGAAAAGAGAAAAAAATAATTATAATTTAATGGAAAATAATATGTGACAAACTCCGTGTGTGTCCATTCTCAAATATTCTCCTCTACGTGAGAGATGGATTCCTTATTAGAAGAATCCAAATAGTATGAAATCACATAAATTATCCGCCTAACACTTATTAAAAATTCATGTCACAAAGACTTCGTCAGTTGTGATGTCTATTTAAAATTAATTAGTCCCGAATATTCCTCTATGACATCTATTGTGTACAATTTTTCTTATTTTTATTAATGTGGAAATCATTTCTAATTTTTTTTTTATTTATTAAATTGCCGTCGTCCCCTCACTCTCTCTTCCCTTTTCCTTTCTAAAATTATTATCTTTTTCTCATAATGTTGCTAATTGTCTTTCTTTTTTTCTTATATTCGACGTGCGACTTCATCCTCTTATGTAACAGGATTTTCATCAACAGAGTATTTACTTGCAAAAAATAATCGCAATTATTTTATTTAACAGCATGATATATATGTACACAGCACTGTAGATTTTGCATGTGTCCTAGGGGTACTCGAACCGCACCTCAATTTTATACTACGATCTAGAATATTACCATAGACACACAAAATTCGTATGTAACTTAACCAAGTAAAAGAAATTTTTTTTTTTATTAATGGATTTCTCTCGTGCTATTTTGTTTTTAGACTTCGCTTAGAATAGCCACTGAATCTTTTGTTGAGAATTATAAAACCTTAATTTTATTCCATCGAGCGCAATCAATTTTAAGAATGAAAAATAAACACTCTAGAATATACAAGATTTATAAAGGTTCATATCAATGTGAAATTACATCTTCTCCCGCGCTGCTGTGAAAAAAGATTTACAAAAGAAAATCGCATTCCTATCTTCTCTATCCTTTCTTTCTTTATGATAATAATAAAACATAAGGACGACTTCCTATTTATCAAACAAATTAGGGCAAAATTGAATTTTACAAGGACTCCAATTCCTTAATAAAATTTTACAAAAATACAAATTCATAAATGGTCCTTAATGAAATTTTGTCCGAGGGGCCTCTTGCCCCCCTTCCGACCCCCATGGCGGCCTCAACAAGATGGTCGATCCGCAACCAGTTCCGCGAAGTGATAATAATTAGGCTCCACAATTTAACATCTTTTAACATAATCACATAATTTATTTCACAGGATTTAGTGGGCTTTCTGCCTATGGAGGATTTTTTGAAGTGTGCAAACCTAAGAAGGGTGAGACAGTATTTGTGTCTGCTGCATCTGGATCCGTAGGATGTTTGGTTGGACAATATGCTAAGCTCTTTGGCTGCTATGTTGTTGGCTGTGCTGGTACTCGTAAAAAGGTCTTTTTTTAATCATCCTTTTTTTCCTCTTTTCATTAAATTTCTCTAAGTAGATAACTGACATGTTGATTGGATTATAGGTTGATCTGCTCAAGCAAGAGCTTGGTTTTGATGATGCATTCAACTACAAGGAGGAAACTGATCTCAAGTCAGCTCTCAAGAGGTTAGATTTTCTGTTTTTATAAATGAAATTCGACGTGATTTGACATTACAAGAGACAAATTTTCTAGCTTGTTTCTCATCCTCCATGCTGTCAAGTACAACGTACCAAAATATATCTTTAAAGTTGAGTTGTGCGTCTCGTTATGGAAACATTTGGAGCACCCTGAAACAATTGACAAATTGTCACGTGCATCTTAGTCGAGTTGAAATATCTCGTTAAATGATCTTCGGTGGGACACAACACTAGACTACAAATAAAATTGTCAATTATTTTTTTCGTTAATCTTATCGAGTATTATCCAATTTGGCATATGCACAAATTCGTTGAAGTTTCCAATAGACCCTTAGAACATGTATGACGCATTAAAAGGAGCATGAAGTGACAAGATTAATAAAAGGATGTGATACAATTTATAGTTTTCATGTTCAGTCTAATTCAATCTAGCGTACAAATGTATCATATGAAATTCAATACACGTCTTGTTGACGCAGGTACTTCCCCGATGGTATTGACATATACTTCGATAATGTCGGAGGGGAGATGCTTGAAGCAGCAGTTGACAACATGAATACATACGGTCGAGTTGCCGTTTGCGGAATAATTTCCGAATACACAAACGATGGCAAGAAAGCTGCACCAAACATGCTAGATGTTGTGTACAAGAGGATCACAATCCAAGGATTTTTGGCTAATGATTACATCAAACTGTATGCAGATTTCTTTTCGACGACGGTGGAGCACCTTCGAACGGGTAAAATGAAGGCCCTTGCAGACATTTCTCATGGTCTCGAAAATGTACCATCTGCTTTCATAGGACTCTTTCGTGGCGATAATATTGGGAAGAAGATTGTCCAAATTGCAGAAGAATGAGACATTTGCTAATTTTGTTGGAGTTTGAAAACCAAGTTGTAATGCTATCACTTAAGTAATAAGAACAAAAATATTTAAATTAAATATTTACTTTTCTTCATTCAACGCAGAAAAAGGGTAAATGTAAAATAAGTAATCCACTTACTTTTAATTTTGATTAAAAAAATAAATTATTTAAAGAAATTATAAAAAAAAATCCACATCAGAAAAATACAGAAACCTCTCTATATTTGTTTTCTATAACATATTTCCCCAATAAACTTGAAACAATTATGTAAATCCATTTTCTCCTTTTTGATTCATATTATATTGAAATTGTTAAGCATCACTTAAGAAAAAAAATGTAAATATAAAAATATGAATGAAGAAGAAAATATAAAAAAAAACATATAAATTCATATCATTTATAAATTTACAAATTAATTATATTATTTAGTTACTACGATCTTTATTGACTTCCAAATAGTGAAAATGATGTTTAAGTCATGTAAAAATCAGAAATAAATTAGCGTTTATCAATCGTTGCTGATGAACTCTATATATGCCCCCAAAGGGGTAAATTCACTCATGATCGCGGTAGTTTATACTTAGTGTCATTTTGACTATCCAAATTAATTTTAATTAATCATGGTCACTGTACTTGATATTTAATGTCATCATGGCTACATTGATTTTGATTTATCATGGTCATCCAACCTCATGGAATGTTTTAGTCAAGCAACCCGATTATTACTACAGAAAAACACACACTCACTAAAAAAATCCGCATATAATTATTACCACAAAAAAAATGAGAATCAGAAACAAAAATAAAAATAAAAATAAAATATAAAGTAAAAATAAAAATAAAAAACCATACACACACACATACAACATTGTAATCATTAGAAAAACTTGAAAAATAAAAAAGAATTATATGAAGGAAGAAACGAATTTTTTTCTTGATTTGGGTTTGATCGATATTATATAAAAAATAATAATAATAATTCGGGTAAGTGAATTTTTCTTGTAATTTTTTATTATTTTTTTTACTCGGTAATTTTTTTCTTGATTTGGGTTTATATTATATAATTTTTTCTGATTTGGGTTAGTGTTTTTTTTTTTTTTTTTTTTTTGTGGTGTGTGAAAGTGTGCGTGTGATTATTTTTATATTCTGTGTGTTAGGAGAAACTAAAAAAAATGTTTACGCTTTCGTATATATATATTTTTAAATTTTAGATTACCATATTATGTGTTTCTATTTTTGTTTTTGATTCTCATCCATTTTTCTGGTAATAATTATATATGAATTTTTTATGTGTGTGTGTATTTTTTTGTTGTTTTAACGATCAGAGTGTCTTGACTGAAAAGTTATATGAAATTAGATAACCATGGTGAATTAAAAACAATTTGGGTGGTCATGATGACACTAAGAGTCTGTCTGCTTCTGATTTTGGCTATATTAAAATTGCTAAATGGACCGTTACATGGCACCATTCCAGAGATGGCCAGTCAACTAATGCGGCTGAATTCTTTAGCAACTGTCAGATATTTGCTCAAAATCAGGAAAATAATCACTACCAGACAACCCCTAAGTATAAAGTACAATGATCATGGTAAATCAAAATCAATTTCGTTGGTTTATAGTGACACTAAATATAAAGTATAGTGATCATTGGTGGATTTAACCCATGCCCAAAAACTATATAAAATATGAAATGTGGCACACGTTCAAATCTTGGGAAGTTTCGGATCAATTTGTAGTTTTTCAGTTTTATCATCTACTCATTGTAAATATTGAAAAATATATTTGTAAATTGAACCAAATGCTAATTGACCTACGGTTACTACATCAAAATGAAATTTGATATTCCTTTAAATGTTTAGGATATCGATTGCTTTCAATGAAATAGTGGCGTGGATGGTTGTAATGTTCGCTCAATACGACATTATTTGTTATGGATGGAATGTATCGTACTGGATATTTTAAATATTCATTCTTTTCATTACAAAATTTCAAAATTAGTTCGGGTCATGGAGATGTATGATTGAGCGATGGAGCAAGCTTGCCAAGGATTTACCATGTAACAATTAAAATGAATAGAATATTAAACTTATGAAGTCTTAAGATTTAACATTTTATAGTGGTAATATTGTAAAATAAATATTGTTAATGCCTTATGTAAATATATACTTCAAGCGTGATAGAATAAATTTGTTGCTTGCATAAGTTTTATGTATTGTTTGGCTTTAAGAACGTTTTTTGCATTCATTTATTGAATTTTAGTAATATTTCGGGTTTCTTAAAAAATTGGACGTTACAGTTTGGAACTAGAGCGAGGCCTACCTTTCCATATACTCATATTTATTTATTATTTTTAAATTCAGATTTTGACACTATTTTAAAAAAAATTAGAAATGTAAAGGTGTTATCTTTCGCAACTATTTTGTTTTTTTTTTCAAAAAAAAAAGATGTTTCAATGTTCATAAAAGAGCAAAATAAAAATTAGATGTTCACCATTGCTTTTAATATGAATAAATGTGATTTTTACATAAAATTTAAATTTTCGAATTCATAAAATAAATAGTGCATGAATTAATTGCTTACGACTTTTTGGCATCATTTTGATGCTATCTGATTTCATATAACAACCATGCTTGATGAACACTCAAAAGTGTGCATCAAGCATGAAGCCCCCTCTATTGTGAGGGGGATGTACACCAAGTTGTCAAACTTGGTGTATAAGGGGCTTAATTCTTCGTATAAAGGGATCCAATAATGGTTGATTTAGCATCTACATAGAATTAAAGTTATTAATTTATTATTAAATTGTAGAATAAATATATTGTGCAATTTTGAAACTGTGAACAAAAAATATTAAATGTTAAAATTTTATGTTTATGTTAACTATTGTAGGAATAATTAAAAAAAAAAAGTTACAATTTTAGAAATTTTAACATTTAAATTCATTTCTGAAATTTGATATTAAATGTTCGTGATTTAGATTTTGTCAAGTTTAATTGCAAGGACTTAAAAAGAATAATGCCTTAGAAAATAATTAGTTCAACTTCGCAATGTTATGTGATTATTTTTCTCACGCAATGTTTTTCCCACTAAATGTCGGTCGCATAATATTTTTATTTTTCAAGTTATTCAAAGATGGAAAGTGATAGTTCTTTCATATAATAGTATGTTATATGCATGAATTAAGTTTAAACCCTAATGGGTTGAGTTGGATTGGGTTGAGTTCTAATAACAAACGTTGTTAGAAATTTAACGACGACTAGCTAGGATGATGATGAGATCAAATAATCACCTCAATTTTTAGCAAATATTATCCAAGCATATAGAACTATGAAATGAACTCAAGTCAAGTTTTTCTGAGATCGTTTCTGACTAAATTAAGATTTGCTGGTGCCTTTGGGAATGAATTTGGAAGTTTTCGACTAACCTAGGAATGTCCCATACTTTCAAGCATTTTAAGGAATGTCACAAATGCTAGCAAGGATTATGAGATGAAAGTTATTGAGAAAATGAAAGAAAATATTGTTTTCCGCACTTAATAGGTCATCTTGAAATTTATTTTGTAAATCTGAAATGATGGGGGTATTCTGCAATAGAGGCAAAGGTCACGAGAGTTTTGCGCCAATTACTCATCATCAACCTATAGTCAAAAATTGAATGCAAACATAAGGAATTGAGGTTGACCAAGGTAACTGTTAGTCTTGTCTAATCGATGTAAGAGAAGTTTGCATTTCTTAGAATTAACATGACCAAGTTTTTTGAATTATTCTACTTGTACAGGAAAAATCCCCATGTACAAGTTACAGGTGCAGTGTGTAGTGTTGACAACCATTGCAGTGCTGTCAGCTCTGCACCTATAATATGTACAGGGGGAATCCCCTTGTACATATAGCATGGCTCACGTTTTTTTAGGACAATTTCAATAGTGTCTTTAGATTCCAGAAAAAAGGATATGTGGCACGTGTTCGAATCATGAGAACTTTTGGGTCAATTTGTAGTTTCTAAGTTTTATTGAGAACTTTAGTGTAAATATTGACAAATATATTTGTAATTTGGAAGTCGAATTTGGAAACGTTTTTCAATTTGATTTCCTAGATGTTGCCTAGTTGTCCTTTGCTAACCATGAAATCTTATAAATGGAAGAGAGGCAATGGCTTTTTTGTTTGTTTTTGGGTGAGGGGGCAGCGATGGTATCCTGGCATTAGAGTGATGGTGGTAGCGACAGTTAGGTGGGTGGTGGCGATAATAATGTGTTTCAATGTATTTTGTGCGAGCATGAAATATAGGATTTCCAGCAAGCTTAATTAAACTTTTATTGTCTCATTGAATGGGAACTAGATTGTCCAAGGCAATAAACATTTCTTGAATAAGCCTCTTAAGCCAAATACACTTGTGAGTGACCATAGTAGCTGATACATATTTAGCTTCACAACTAGTTTGCTTTTTACTACATCATGAAATTGCTGTTGAGCCTGTATTAAAACAGTAACTAGTTTTGGAGCACCTATCCTTAACATCACCAATCCAATATGTATCTACAAAACCAGTCAAAAGGAATGGTATATGTTGCTTCTACTATAACTTATAATTTAGAGTGCCTTTCAGATATCGAAAAATCCTCTTTTCTACAATTAAATGTTCCTCACATGGTTTATCCATAAATTGAGAAATAACTCATACAGAATATGAAATATCAAGTTGTGTGATAGTTAAATAGAATAAACTACCAACAAGCTGTCGACAAAATGTTGCATCTTCCAATAACTTTCCTCCTTTAATTAACTTCAAACCATATAACTTAGGAGCTGTTACTTTTGTCTCCCCCATACGAAAATGATTCAATAAGCTTGCCGCATATCCTTTTTAAGAGACAAAATAACCATCTGATTGTTCAACTTGTAGACCAAGAATATAGCTAGCTTATACCAAACTCTTCATTTCAAAATGAGTAGATAAGCATCTCGAAGATGGGTTATTTCGACATTGTTATCTTCGG